TTGTTCTAGAATAATTTATTTTTGTTTTTATTAAACATATCACTTCCTAATGTGAGTCTTCCACTGCTGCATTAACTGCCACAACAACAAATTGGTTTATGGTAAAATTTTCCATCCTTTCTTATGGATAAGTTTTATGATCTTGACTACCTACACCAAATCCTAATGAACTACCCTTAGTATTGCATAAAAAGGGAATAAATAAAACAATCAAATTTTGGGAGGTTTCATGAAGTGCTTCTTTAGGAGTTAAACTTCCATTTGTCCATATTTCTAGAAAAAGTATCAATTGTTTCTCATTCCCATTCCAATAAGAATGAATACTATGATAACTTTTATCTTGAAAGTTATTTGGTGTTTTCCATGATTTCTCCTGATTTGTGATACGAAAACCAATTGGTTTTGTCAAGCTAGTTATATGTTGTGTATTATCAACGATTTTGACATAAGGTGGTAAGATGATATCTTGAGGGGTTACATATCTAGGACCCTTGACACAAATAGATGTGCCGTAAGTTCCATATAGAAGTAGATTACTTCTGGTGAGTCAAATTGGTTTTACTAAATATCAAAAGAAACTTGACAAATGGAGATCATGCATTGCTCAAGTGTTTAATTAGTGAAATTGGTTTGTACTCTGAGTTTCATTCCTGAATCAGAATCTCATGCAATTTCTTTTATCTATATATTCTAGATTGGTTGTTTTGTTTGGTTCAGTTGGAGAAATGTAGGGGCATGTGAGAGCACTGTGGGAAAGAATGGGAATAATCCAAAGTTGGTTGCAGCAATTTCTGTTATGTTGAGTTGATAATATGTAGGGTCGAAGCTGAGAATGCAGAAAGCCATACTTATGTCCGACTCCATACAGTAAGCTGATAGAGAACGAAAGGATTGGCACATTGAAATAAAAGAAAAAATGGAGTTTGATTCCTTTCCTTCCCCCTGAGGCGGGTCTCCCCTTCTCTTTCATGGTGATTGTGTCACTAACTTTTGGTGGAAAAGCTTGTTGGAAAGAATGACATCTCAACAAAAACTTACTCCAACGGTTTGCAAGAAGGGACTCCGACAGAACATAAACTATTTTCAGCTTGCAACAGAACTTGCAGAATGAGAATCACTTACTGGATGTTGACCTTTTGGGTAAAATAACAGACATTCCTCGAGTTTCTGTAATATTATACATACAGATAATCCTTGACATTTTACAAATAACATGGAGATTTCCTGAAGTTTGAAACACATTGCATGGAGGTTTCTTTTGTCTTTCTTATTGTTAATAGGAAGTGATGATTTTATCTAAAAAATTAAAAAACTAAATAAAATAAAATCTAAATAAAACACTATCATTAAGATCTCTTGAAAATTTGGTCAAATATTTATGTCCAATTTTACTTATGCCTATAGTCCCATCAGTAAGCAATATGTGACCACGATCTTCCTTTGCACAAGCATCGATTATCTCATGGCGATTCATGTCAATCTCTAAGTGTCCATTTTCTTGTTCCTTTCCTTCCAAGTATTTCTATTGATCATCATATTTCAAGTTATCATCATTCACATTCTCATACAAAGACATTACTTTATCAACAAGTTTATCTTCATGGGTCTTTACTTCAATGTCCCCCATATTATCCAAAGCAATATCTTCTGCATTGGGTCTTGACCACTGCACCCACTTTATTGGTGTTATTTGTTGTAAATCCTAGCAAATATTTCTCCTCGGGATATTCATCATATATGGGGGAATCACAATCATCTTTTATTTATGGGAATTAATGAATCAATATACATCATTTATCGGGGTTGAATCTCAATCAACTTGTGGTTGCATAAAAGATGAATCGCTAGGAAAAAGTATCTTTTTCGAGTCTGTGTCAAAATCTCGCATCTCCTCTGAAATTTCGCTCACGTCTACTAGACTTTCTTCCTCCTTCTCCACCACCTGTAGTGAATTATGGGGTCTTCGGTGCAATTGCTATTGTTGTAATAGTATTGACAAGAACGGGCTCTAATAATAATTGATGCAAAGAAGTGGGTAAAAATAATTGTTTGATGAACAAAAGGGGATAAAGAGATTAAATCATTGATGTACGCACAAATATCGGATTAAAATCCTACTCTAGAGCACCAATTATGNTTACTCCAACGGTTTGCAAGAAGGGACTCCGACAGAACATAAACTATTTTCAGCTTGCAACAGAACTTGCAGAATAAGAATCACTTACTGGATGTTAACCTTTTGGGTAAAAAACAGACATTCCTCGAGTTTCTGTAATATTATACATACAGATAATCCTTGACATTTTACAAATAACATGGAGATTTCCTGAAGTTTGAAACACATTGCATGGAGGTTTCTTTTGTCTTTCTTATTGTTAATAGGAAGTGATGATTTTATCTAAAAAATTAAAAAACTAAATAAAATAAAATCTAAATAAAACACTATCATTAAGATCTCTTGAAAATTTGGTCAAATATTTATGTCCAATTTTACTTATGCCTATAGTCCCATCAGTAAGCAATATGTGACCACGATCTTCCTTTGCACAAGCATCGATTATCTCATGGCGATTCATGTCAATCTCTAAGTGTCCATTTTCTTGTTCCTTTCCTTCCAAGTATTTCTATTGATCATCATATTTCAAGTTATCATCATTCACATTCTCATACAAAGACATTACTTTATCAACAAGTTTATCTTCATGGGTCTTTACTTCAATGTCCCCCATATTATCCAAAGCAATATCTTCTGCATTGGGTCTTGACCACTGCACCCACTTTATTGGTGTTATTTGTTGTAAATCCTAGCAAATATTTCTCCTCGGGATATTCATCATATATGGGGGAATCACAATCATCTTTTATTTATGGGAATTAATGAATCAATATACATCATTTATCGGGGTTGAATCTCAATCAACTTGTGGTTGCATAAAAGATAAATCGCTAGGAAAAAGTATCTTTTTCGAGTCTGTGTCAAAATCTCGCATCTCCTCTGAAATTTCGCCCACGTCTACTAGACTTTCTTCCTCCTTCTCCACCACCTGTAGTGAATTATGGGGTCTTCGGTGCAATTGCTATTGTTGTAATAGAAATCACTATTGTTGTAATAGTATTGACAAGAACGGGCTCTAATACTAATTGATGCAAAGAAGTGGGTAAAAATAATTGTTTGATGAACAAAAGGGGATAAAGAGATTAAACCATTGATGTACGCACAAATATCGGATTAAAATCCTACTCTAGAGCACCAATTATGAAGGCTTTAATTGATATGTTGATTTACAAATAATACCAAAATAATTAGGAATAAAAGCGAAACTCTCTCAATTCTATTACTCAAAAACTACTCAGACGAGTATAAATAGTGCAAGAAATAATTAGGAAATTAGAATGCTAATTAAATTAAGAAACTAAATAAAACAAAATCTTAATTAAATAAAAAAAATAAAAAATTTCTAATTAAATTAAGAAATAAAATAAAATCTTATAAATTTTTATAGCTGAACGGAATTTACCACGTCCAAATAAAACACTAAAATTTTTGCACTTTGTTCTGCATCATTTGGTGAGTTAATTCCAAAAACAATTAAATAGAAAAATATACAAGTTCTTACCGTACGGAAAGTTACAATAAGTTGTCCAACTACAAAGAATTGAAAAATACTGGATTATAACAAATAATAGAACACCCTAATAAGAATGTAGAATTAAGATTTTATCTCGGCATTATTGCATGCTATGAGTGGCTACCCAACTCTTAAATCTTAGTTCCACTGCTGGATGACATACTACCTGATTAAACCAGTTAGAATTATTTATTAGTATTTTTGTAAAATATAAATTTTCATATAAAAAATAATTTATTGTTTTATGATTAAAAGATGAAAAAAATATAAACAAATTCAGAAAAGATCTTTGATAATTGCTTTTGTTTTAGTAAACTTTTGGTAAATTTTTAAAACTTAAAAAAAATTTAAAATATCTATACTCTTAATAAAAGAAGAGAGTGGGATTTAGCATCCACCCACAAAATGTCTGAATTATTTTTTTTTAACCATATATAATTATTTTTAATTGTATTCAACTGCAACCAAGAAATATTTATTTTAATCATATAAATATTAACTTAAACGAGCGTATAATACATAACTAAAATGAATGGTGAAGACGAACTCATATAACCTATCCCAAATAATTGGAACATAAAACTAAGCTTGGTTTGGTTATTCCACTGCAACCACTCATAAATCCCATGGCCACACAGATTTATCAATTATAATTTCTTTTAAATTTTTTCTATATGCACATTAATACCTTGTGTACGACCCCCAAGTAATATTATGTGGAATTAAATACGTCCAATTAATATTATTAGAACGGCTTCTAACATCAAAAACATAATCCAAAGTAATATCCAAAAATGCACATTAATGAAAAAAAAAAGGCATAATCATATAGTTTACATACATTAATTTAGAATATAAAATATAATAAATTTAACCGATGATTTAAAATAGATTTACATTACATAATACCTTCGGACCCCGTTACCCCCGTCAAATTACATATGAAAACAAATTGAATGGTATCCTCCAATTACCGTGTGTCTTTTGTTTAAAAAAAAAAAAAATTGCCGTTAAATTAAGTCTTTCCCAACCTCTTTCAATATCTCTATCCTCCATTCTCTTCGATTCTTCCGATTACAGGCGCAGTGGAACCTTCATTGGCCTTCTCATAAGGAGTTAACTAAAATGCCGAACATGTAGCAATTATATTGGGTTTCGATCTTTCCGGAGTTATACAGAACAGAAAAATTCGCGTTCCTGGCTATGGTTTTGGTGTTCAATCGGAAATATTAGGGTTTTTTTGGTGCTCACAGATTGTTCGGTCCATATCATCAAACTCGAAGTTCAGAGATCGTTTATGCGTTTTCTTATCTGTCCGTAATTGTTTTCCGGGAACTATATCTGCAAGTATATATTCTGATACTGATAAAAATGGTGGACCGAAAGCTGTACAAGACGAAGCTTTGCGTACTGTATCAGAGAGGTCACTGTCGTCGCCAGACCTGCTCTTTTGCCCACGGCGATGCCGAGCTCCGACGCTTCTCTGCTTCATTCAATGGTAATTTCCATTCAATTGTACTCTCTCTAGGTATATGTGTGTCTATTTTTTAATTATTGGTTTGTTGGAAGTTCAATTTTTTGTTTATTATTGCTATACCTTGAATGGACCCATGCAATCTACTTCATTGCGATGGTTGAGAGTCCACAAAGACATGTAGGAAAGCATTAAGATGAATGAAGTTTAGTATTAGCACGTCTCCCTCTGCGTGTTAGGGGTTCTTTTTGCTAAAATATGAAACGTGGGAGAGATGATTGTGGAACGCTATATGTATGCTCCAATATGCCACAAACACTCTATCGAGTGAAATATGAGATGTGTATCTCTGCTGGGTTGTTTTCCTTTTTTCATTTTGTGAGTAATTCTTCTCAATAATTGTTATTGAATGGGTTCCTATTTTCTTTTTAGTTATAATGTGATATTGAAATTGATTCTACCTTGTTTTGTTAAGTTCAGAAATGTTAGTGGTAGTCTGTCTGCAAAAGATACCAAATTGAGAAATAATTCTGGTGTCCTTTTTCATATTTGGTATTTTGATTTTGGTATGGAGTCGAAGATAATGTTAAATTTTGTTTTGGATGTGAGATATAGATGGAGTAATTTTGAAGGTAAAGGGTTCGGCCAAAAAAAAGAGGTACAAGGAGAGATTTTAAATGTCTTATTCAAAAAGGACAGGAAGTGTGCACTGTATTTCTCAGTTTACCTTGGACTGGATCTATCTAGTTTTTCCAGAACTCACGCCATTTAGTAAGATCTAGCTTTTTCAACAACTCAACCCAATCTCTTTCAAGGAGATTTAGTTTCTTAAGAACCCATGTCCATTTTCATTGTAGAGAGGCTTTGCCTCATCTTCACACCTATCATTTCATGGCTATCTAGCCGGTTCTTGTATGCATGTGCATATTTATGAGGTTGGCTTCCATCTTCAATTGCCCTGATGTTAATTCTTTTATATCAAAATCACTTGTTTGGGCTCTTTTTTTTTTCTTTAGTATAGATGGCTGTTTTACGTTGATCATAAGTCAGGACAAATCAGTGCCCATATGTGTGTGACAAATTACAGAGTATATTCATCAAGAATCGCAAATTAATTTTTTTTGCTTGATTGGAGATGTTCTCAAGTCTCATGTTTAGAGGCTTTTAACATTGTATCGACAGTTTGGGCATTTCAGTAACCAATAACAGTGCATATTAACTGACAGGTTTAGTTTTTCTTTATCAGAAGAGATTGTGCGGGTTAGTTTATCTTAATGCTGCTTGAGATGTTTTCCAGCAAACTTCATCTTGGTTTATCCTAATGCATCGATGAAACAGCAGTGTTTTACAAGGGATCAGAATTAGGTTTTTGTCTATGTCATTTCTTGAATAATCATAGTTCACCAGCCAGTTCTATGAAACATCCTAATATGTTTCCTAGGAAGTTCTGCGGTTTATGTATTGGTGGAGCATGTGGTATTTCATTCATTGTGACTTTTTGAATGATACTGGAAAGAGGATTTCTTGGAAGGAAGGTGTGGTCAGAACCAGGCCAATATATGTCATATGGGATGAATCAAACTTCTTTGATATGACATCCAGGAGAAATCTGTACAATAAAGTTTCATTGTATTCTTATTGTTCAAGACACAAAGGATTTCTACTATCTTTTATCAGTTGCTTCTATTCTGTTTGAAGGGTTTTCTCGGTTATACTAGCTCAAACATGGGTATACCTAATATCTATTCATTTATGAGATGGATAATTCCTATGGCCCCTTCGGAACTCGCAAGAAGGCACTATTACTGTCGCTAGTACATTTCTGGTAATTCATATCGCTCTTTTGGAACTTGCAAGAAGGCACCAATACCATAACTGTTCATTATTATGTTAATCATGTTGTTCCCTGTGACGGTAAGTTTAACTTCATTGTTGATTAATAGCATTCTGTTTTTTTNAGAAGGCACCAATACCATAACTGTTCATTATTATGTTAATCATGTTGTTCCCTGTGAGGGTAAGTTTAACTTCATTGTTGATTAATAGCATTCTGTTTTTTTTTTACTTCTAAAATTAAAGATGACTAGGTTCATTTTATTGGAAATACTTTCTTTCTTCTTTTCTACAGGGAGGCGGGATTATAGGAGTAGTGACTTGAGAGATAAGCTTGACAGAAGACTTTCTCCACCAAGAAGGTACTCCCCTGATGGAAGAGGTCGGCATGCATCTCATGGTAAGCAAGTGCATTCCATTTTGCTCTTCTTTCTTGTGGTGGTTATTTTTAGTAGGTTTATATTCTTCTAATTTGGATTGATTGAGGATTGGCGGAGTACAGTCACCATTGTGTCACTATTTTGTGGTTGGTGATGTTTGGTTTGTGTTCCCTCTTTTTCTCGTTTTGATGTAAATGTATTGTTATAGCTATTCAAGGACTTAATTGATATTCATGTTAATTTAATCTTTTATCATTTCCTGTATCTACTTTTTTTGGTTCTTTTTCTTTCTTGTTATTGAGATAGGTGTCAGGTCCTTTTGATTCATTTGTTTTGTTTCATTTGCAGGATACAGTCCCCCCAGATTTCTTAGGAACAGGAGGTAACTTTAATTCAAAATGTATCTTTGTTCTCTTTTTAGGGTTTGTGTCTCTATGACATCATCTTTTTTGTAATAATTTGATTTTTAAGCTTGATGTATTGCAATATGGTTGTATATTGCCTTGTTCATTATCTGTGAGGCAGTCAATGTGTTGGGCTTGGGCGTATTATGGAAGTAGGTTGTGGAACAAACGGCTCTGAATGCCTTAGACTTACTCGGAACAAAGGCATAGTACAAATGATCTTGTGCTGCAATGCCAATTTTTAATGTTGGTAAAAATATTGGAAGCGGACCATGAATTTGAATTTGACTTAAGTGCCATTTCTTTCTTGATTGTGGTGGAGGTTGTGGAACTGATGGCTCTGTGTGCCTTAGACTTGTGTGGAACAAAGGCATAGCACATGTGCACTTCAATCCCAACTGGATGTTGGTAATGATATTGGAAGTTGACAATTAGTTTGAATTTGACTTCATTGCAGTTTCTTTCTTGATTGTGGTGGAGAAGTTTACCATGGCACCCATTTTTTGGATTTCTTAAATTGCAGAGATGCCATTCTTGTACTTGGCAGTCACCCTCAGGCGGGTGCAGCTCTTCTGCGGTTAGACAATAACAGGTGTGCTGTTAGAGGAAATGGCGACATTTTAATTAAGTTTTGCCAGTTAAATTTTTTTCCCAAGAACAAACCAGTGGAGCTCTCTCTTTGCTGTAACCCGTGCCAAGCTCCTTCTCTATAATCCTTGCACAAACTCTGCATATCTAGGAAGCACGGATACTTTTCGGATGGATGTCGTGATAGTGTCAAATATGGCTAGAAGTGCCTTGAATAGTGAACCCAGTCGGACACGGTTTGGATACAACCAAGACACGTCTAGGATACGCCAATTCACATCTAGGACAAGTTTAGGACATCGCTGGATATGACGATGAATTTTTATTTTTTTTTAAAAACAACTATTGACTATTAAAATAGGTGTTATTTTTAATTTTTTTAATATAATTTTTGTTATGTCAATATATGTAATGATGTTTGATGAAAATGATGGATATTTATTTTGATTTATTTCAATTTTAATTAAAAAATTAATATTTTCTAGGTTTTATTATTAATATTGTTATAATATATACTTTATTTTTAATATATTACAACTTTATTATTAGTTAAAAAATGTATTATATTATTTTAATAGCCGTATCCTTGTCATACCCGTGTTCTACATTTTTTAACTTTATTGTATCCTTGTGTCTGTATTCGTGTNTGTTATAATATATACTTTATTTTTAATATATTACAACTTTATTATTAGTTAAAAAATATATTATATTATTTTAATAGCCGTATCCTTGTCATACCCGTGTTCTACATTTTTTAACTTTATTGTATCCCTGTGTCTGTATTCGTGTTTCCTAGTTGCACATTCAAGACCCATCTCTCTCTCTCTCTCTCTCTCTCTCTCTCTCACCGCTAATTTCTCTCCAATAGATCCCCTCTCTAGAAATGTTAACAAAAGTCATCACCCACTAAAACCTATTATCACCCACAATCTCTATCTATAGCCCGAATTCAAGAAGGTATTGAATCCCCATTCTCCGCCGACAGATCTTGCTGACAGATCTTTCACAAGGAGAGAATCCAAACAAGAAGGTATAAATATTGGAACCTCCACTAATGTAGGGTGTACTTTGTGCGCCAGGTGCTATTCACAATTTTTTTCACACCAATTTTGTTGACAGATCTTTCTGAAATTATTCTCCCTACCAATCAATGTTTTTCAAGATCAACACTAGACCTGATTCATTTTCAAGAGAAATGCACCCCTCTACTGTTGCATGAAGATGCACATTTCCTTCCTTCTTAGCTTCATGTCTACTCGCAGATTCTGAATCCATGGTTCCACATGTGACTATTATGTGGATTATGATTGATTAAGTTTGTTTATTATGGAGACATGCATTTGATTTTGCTATAGGGATTGCTGAAAATTGTAGTGAGACAATAAAAAATTTCTGGTTTCCGTAATTGGTTAAATATGTTGTAGAAACTTGGTATTTGATGTAAAAGGAGGGGTTAAAGCGGAGGTCTATAATAGTAAGGTGGAGGAGGATGAGTTTTCTGGTAGGGATATGGCAGAAGAGATGGTGCAATGGCTGGCTGGGACTTGGCTCATGCGGAAGACTCTTTTTTAGAGGGAGAGTGAACCTTTAAAGACTTGTCTGATTTTAATTCAGAGAAATTTTTTTTAACTGTGCAAAACTTAATTAAAACGGCATTGTTTCCTGTAGCAGCACACCGTGCTGTTTTTTTCTAATCGCAGAGGAGCTAAACCCTCCTGAGGTCCATGTAATGTGTCAGTTTACTCAGTGGAGAATGAATTATTGCATCATGCCTAGTGTGGCCTGTATTGACAGAAGTTGATTATTCATGGACTTCCATCACAAAACTGTGGCAATGCATCGCTTATTTATCCGCAATCCAATGTTCCCCTTTGGAGATTTAAGACTGGAAAGTTTTCATGATATAGATGATTTTACTGATTTCATTGTGCTTTCTGTCGAATGATTAGTACTTTTTATATTTGTACGTGTAGTAGTATTATGGAATAGTCTATACCTTATTGAATTTTTTTTTTTGGTTGCATAATGGATCTCCAAATGGATAAATGCTCTTCTCTAAACTAACTGGCGTGCTACATTGTGATGTTTGATAGCATGCGGCTTCGTGTTTCATGCCTGTTTTTGAGTTGAAGAATGACATTACTTCCCGAACAGATACAGTGATCTCTTATATTTTTGCGTCTTAAACTTCTCCTTTATTTTTAAAGAAAAATTTGGATACNTTTGAGTTGAAGAATGACATTACTTCCCGAACAGATACAGTGATCTCTTATATTTTTTTTTGCGTCTTAAACTTCTCCTTTATTTTTAAAGAAAAATTTGGATAAGGACCAGACTTCAAATATAAAAGAGCAACTATTGTATTGTCTTATTTTTCTGCTATCATTGCTGGTAACATCCATATGATTTCTTAGCATTACACCTATATAATGATGCAGTGCCAGAAAACACAGCAAGAAACATCCATTGGATGGCCAAAGTGATTTTTCTGGAAGCTTGGATATCTCAGATGGGAACAAAGATCAAGTCAAAGACAAAAAGCTCACATCGTCTGATTCCAAAGATGCCCTAGCAGTGCAGGTTTGTTGAATTGGTCATTTGGATTGAATTACTTCGAAAAATGAACTCTAAATTTTCCTGAGGGGGTGCTCCCAGTCCTTGCTTTCCCCATAATATGTCATGTTAATCATTTGCTTTTGATCTATGTGCAGTTGAGACAAGTGCAGTCTGAAGTTGACATGCTGGATGACCACAAACATCAACTGGAGGTTAGTGTCATTTGTTCTTAGTCACAGTGGCTTGACGGAAGAGTGTGATTTTGTTCAGTTTTTTGGACATGTTTTTGTTTTTTCACATTTCTTCTTTTTCTTCATGAGGAGGTTAAATTTTTTAAAAACTCTGAGCTCTAGATAATTGTTTCTTCTATTCTTCTTCGAAAGGCCTATTTCTATCTTTAGGAAAAAGTTTCCTCTCTCTGCCAGCTCAGTGAATTCATTTGTTTGCTGGCGGCAGACATTGATACCATGTGNAGGCCTATTTCTATCTTTAGGAAAAAGTTTCCTCTCTCTGCCAGCTCAGTGAATTCATTTGTTTGCTGGCGGCAGACATTGATACCATGTGCCAGGCATTACTTATTAGTAAACACTCAACAGCAAGATTTCATTTAGCATTTATATTCATTTTGCCTTCATTTCTATAATTTATTTTGAGTGAGGAGCTGGCATCAATGCCCTTGGTTGTTTAGGTGATATGAAAGTTCACTACAGGACCATTTAAGTACTACTTTGTTCTCACCTCCAGGTGTTCATAATGGTTCTTTCAGATATTGGTCCCTTTACAATTCACTGTAGGACTTTTTGAGTATAATTTTGTTTTCACCTCCCTATTCATGGTTGATCACAATGTTTCTTTCTCACATTCCTTTACAGATATTGTTTCCATGTTACTGCATGTTCTTTGACATGTTGATTGTTTGTTTGTCAATACTATGTTGATTGTTTGAAGATCTACGTGGAAGAGAGGATCCAAGAAGCAGATGGTCTAACTTCTAAAATCGAGGAGCTTGAGATGCAACTGTGTAAAGAGAAAGAGGAATGTAAAAGGTGATTTTACCACTTATTACTGGAATTTCCTGTCCTTCTTGTCTACTTACAGGCAATGTGATTCTTTGAAATGCTATTCGAGCATGAACTATTTCTCTAGTATTGTTTAATATCTTGGTATTATCCATATTCCAGGATTACTTCAAAAATCAAGAAGTTTGTTAAAGCTCAAAGTCGTCATTTAAGGCTACAAGCTGAACTAAAGAGGTAAATTTCTGTTCTATATTGTTTCTCAACTCTCTTGTGATTGCTTATTTTATCCTTCAACTGATGTTTAACCTGATAACTTTGTTTTGATCTTTACATAAATTATACTTTTGTCTATGTAAATGATAAATTTGCAGGTCACAAGCTCGAGTTCAGAAGTTGGGGGACCAGCTTGCTTCAGATGCTGCTAGATCTGGTGCCAATGAAGAGGATTCAAGCATCAATATGATGAGTGATGGAGAGACAACTGGTAATCTTGTGTTAAGCTCATGGACTGAGCTACAAACAAATGCTTCTCCCAGCAGAAAAAGACAGCGAATTCGCATGAAAGCTGATCTAGATTTAAATCAAGGTAGCACTTCAAAATTAAAATTGCTTTCATGTTAAAAAAACTCTTCAAATAGTTGGATTCTTGATCTTGAGCATTAACTTATTTTGGCATTGAATTTTGTGTTTCCAAGGTCACTGCAGAAAGGTTAGATATTAGAGAATTTAACCCTTAAACCTTGTTTATTGCTCTCAAATTGGGAACAGCTTTTGGAAAGACCATGATCTGTAGACAAAGATACCAGATGTAGAACCCACATCAACCCCAGAATTGATGTTGATAGCAGTGTCTTGGTTTTCTTGTGTAAGAGAACCTTCGAGGGTAAATTAATGTTGATAGATTATGACAATATGATAAACTCCACTGTAGCATTTATCCAACCAATTTCTGAAGTTGATAACATGGACTTCTGAAAGTTCGCAAGTTGGTGCGGAAACGTCCTCCCTNGCTGATAGATTATGACAATATGATAAACTCCACTGTCGCATTTATCCAACCAATTTCTCAAGTTGATAACATGGACTTCTGAAAGTTCGCAAGTTGGTGCGGAAACGTCCTCCCTTTTGGGGGCCCACATGCTAGAAGCTAAACAATCATTAGTACTAATTGTAGATTGTCACGAGCCCAGCCCTCTCCCTATATAATATTGTCTGCTTTGGGCTAGATCCACACAACTTTAAAACAGATTTAATACTGAAGGCCCAAAGCCTTCACTTATAAGGCACTCTTCAGTCCCTTCACCAAGCAATGTGGGCGAAGACAATATACTTGGAATTTCATCCGCCTCATCTTATTCTTATATACTTTGCAAAATACCTATTATTGTTCTTGTTGTAGAGGTCCATAGTTGTTACCATTTGAGAAAAGGTTGTGCTGCTAGTGCCAGGTGCAAGAATGCAGATTCAGTATAAGGATAGTTCACTTCATACAAAATAGTCAAAGGCTGAATCAGTTCTCAGTCCTCCGCCTTAGCATTTCAGCTCATGGGACTAACACTATGCAGTGGCCTATAGTATTCTGCTTGTGGGAAATTGATTACTTGTTTCAAATTCAAAGGTGGATTTTCTTGGACTATTTAGATTGGCTTCACCTTATATATTCGTGAAGATTTCAAGGGTTACTAGTAGAACCCAGATTAAATAAATACCTAACATTTAGTATTGTATCATGATGTGATTGTCATTATGTCAGAGCCAATAACCATGACCTCGTGGTTGTAAGCCTGGCACTTTCACTTTATATCTTCTTGAGACTCTTCTTTCCTTATTAGAGCTTTGATATTCTCTATTTTTTCCTGTTTAAAATGCAAATTCTTAGAATAGCTTACGAAAATTGCTATGACATCAACATGTAGACTTAACCAGTAATGTAGGTGAAGTAATTTACTAGTTGTTTTCGCTTAAAATTTTTAAGGTGGTATTTGCGAAAATTGTGAAACCTACAATAACTACCTTCCATAATACCCAAATTAAGTATGTCGATTCAGAATTATTTTTGAAATAGCACTTATTCTGCTAGGTCAATACATCTCCAATCTTGTTTGATCTAAAATTACCATTTGAGCAGAGTTGATGTTCCGGCAACAGAAGAGTTAATTGATCCTACACAGTTGTTTGATATTTCAGTTTTTCAAATTTGAGTTCTTATAATTAGCTGTCTGGTGATTCACATGAAACATCTTTGCACATGACCGAAATGGTTATGATGTTCTTTTAAGGAATGGGTGTGCTTACCTTTTTTGTAACTGACAATTTTGTTTAGCACCAGTAAATCCAACAGAAGGAGAAGGATTTGTGACAGGAACAATTACTTCGGGGAAGTTTTCTCGGTGGAATATTGATCATGCTCAATATAACAATAAGAAGGAAGCTGTGGCGGAGGGTAATGGAAAGAATGGTTTTAGACCCTTGGCAAATGAAGACAAGGCAAAATGGGAAAAGAACACTTACATTAACATTCTGTCGGGAGATAAGGTGAGTTTTCTATTCTTGTACCTTCTTCTGCACTTGGGTAGTCTTGTTTGTTTTCTATGTGATAAATGCACTAGCATTGTTTCCTTGATGTTGGGACAGTTGTGCCTAAGTGCTGTTGTGGGTAGAGAGAACTTGGATCCTGCATCAAAAGATTAGGGTCACCAAAAGTTGGTTTATATAGTTGAGGGGCCTCTACCAATTGCTGGTTGGTTTTTTTTTTTGGGTGCTAGATGCTCTAATATGGATGATATTAGAGCTGGATCTTAGGTGGTCAACACGTTGAGTCCATTTGAATAAGTGATTCCCTGGTGTGATTGTTGTTCTCTTTCAATTTGGTTTGTTCGCCCACACGCGGGCCAGATTGCACGTGAGGAGGGTGTGATGGAGCTTTTATTCCTAGTGGGTCTATATTTTTTGGGGAGTTCTCGACCCATTCCAATTTGTTTTGGTTGCTCTAGGAATTTGGCTGTATCATCACATTTGCATAGTAGGCTCGCCAAAATGAAAAACAGCGGATAAGCAACAGAAAATGATGTATCAAGAAAAGCAACAGATCTGCCCCTTGCAAAAAAACAGTTGACATGCTTGCATTTCTCATGCATCCATTTTTGGTAAATCCCTTTGAGGCCACACATGCCTAATTATCTTTTGTAATAAATGCCAAATGATTCCATGTCGTTAACTTGATGTGTCATCTATGCATTACAAGATCTGCAAAAGTGTATTATCAGCACAATTTAACTATGTAAGTTGCCTTGAACCTCAATTTCATGAGGAATGATGATACTGGTTCAAACGTCAAAGCATATGAGGGGTATCCATTGTGTTCCCTAGCACTTTTTGTTCTCTTGAAGCTTGTGGTGCTGTTAGTAATTTATAGAATGAAGAGACATCATGATTGTTCATGACCTGATTTTTTAATATGCAGGCCTGATCATTAGGACATGCATAAGTATACCCTATACCGGAAAAGTGCTATTTATTTATCATTCTTGTACTGGAATATATTTTAAAAAAGAAGGTCCAACATTTACATGCTATTAAAATGTGCAGTTGAGGATTTCTGAATCAGGCCCTGTGTTGCCATCAACTAGCATAGCTGCCCATGCAGTGGATGAAGTTGCTGACACTGTTGAAATGGAGGAAAAGTTTGAGTTGGTTGGGGCTTCTTCTACAGAAGTTGGAAAGGGGGTTACATTTGAGATCCCCGGATTGCCTTTACCACCACTGCCACCACCTCCTCCTGTGCCTCTAGGCACTTACTCAAAGGTTAGTTTGATTTGAGAATTGAAATTTCATTTAGCATGTTGTTGTTGCTAGCGAGTTGTAGTTCCCCTTTGCATGCCATCAGTTTCTAATTTCTATTTTTTTTCCTTTTCCCTGCGTCGTATAAGTGTTAATCAATGTATACCATCAAAACAGAATCTGCTTTTGCATAGGATATTGTATTGTTATGAAACTATTGAATATGATCTGATATGAACAATTTTACTTGCAGTACAAGGGTGACGGTGAGAAGGTGGGTGTAGAGGGACTTGACGACGAGATGGTGGATATAGTTTGACGTTGAGAGCATAGCTGTTAACAGTAGTCATCCTATGTCATACTGACGTTAAGAGCATAGCTGTTAACAGTAGTCATCGTATGTCATATGTATGCCATAATTTGCTAATATTTTGAGGGATTATTTTGTTTAAATTTTCACATGCTAGGTTGGAAAAAGGATAACAGGTCAACCTTTTATTTATGGTAATTGCTTAAAATGCGTTCAGAAGCAACTTATGGTAAAGAATTTTCGAATAGCAGATCGATGCATTCCCGACGAAACAAGGTTCCTCTATTGTCTGTGTCTGATATGCGTGGTAGGAATTTTGAATTTATCTAGTAACAGGTCAGTGATTTTACGACTATTGGATTGAAGCATTTTCCATAATTCATGTTTTAAGAATCGAAGAAGCTAAATGGGACTTATTATCATGCAGTGGCAACCAATTTTTATTTGTCCCAAGTCTGAAGCTTAATTTTCCGTTGTCTGTAAAGTTGTAAGGTTACATTTTGAATAGGAATAAATTTTCATTGCTTACTACTGTGTGATGGGTAGCCTTGTCAATCGTGTCNCATAGCTGTTAACAGTAGTCATCGTATGTCATATGTATGCCATAATTTGCTAATATTTTGAGGGATTATTTTGTTTAAATTTTCACATGCTAGGTTGGAAAAAGGATAACAGGTCAACCTTTTATTTATGGTAATTGCTTAAAATGCGTTCAGAAGCAACTTATGGTAAAGAATTTTCGAATAGCAGATCGATGCATTCCCGACGAAACAAGGTTCCTCTATTGTCTGTGTCTGATATGCGTGGTAGGAATTTTGAATTTATCTAGTAACAGGTGAGTGATTTTACGATTATTGGATTGAAGCATTTTCCATAATTCATGTTTTAAGAATCGAAGAAGCTAAATGGGACTTATTATCATGCAGTGGCAAGCAATTTTTATTTGTCCCAAGTCTGAAGCTTAATATTCTGTTGTCTGTAAAGTTGTAAGGTTACATTTTGAATAGGAATAAATTTTCATTGCTTACTACTGTGTGATGGGTAGCCTTGTCAATCGTGTCATGTCGTGTCGGATTAGGTGAAACGGATTCGTGTAAGTTTAAACTGTTTTGTGTCAAAAGCGCTTCACTTGTATTTGATTTGTTTATTAATACATGTCTAACAAGTTGTATTATATTTGATTTGTGATATGTATTAATTACGTATAATCGATATATAAATAAGTTGTATCGTGTATTTTTTTTAATTAGTGTCACTCATATTTAATTCGTTTATTAATCATATCGTGTTGATTTAATCGCATTCGCTCCGATGCTTACGTTCGAAGTACCAAATGTGCCTCTAAAGCGTCTTACAACCCACACCACATGCTTGTGCATGAATGGTCCAAGTGTGCATCCTCACAAATACTAGTATTCTTANTCTAAAGCGTCTTACAACCCACACCACATGCTTGTGCATGAATGGTCCAAGTGTGCATCCTCACAAATACTAGTATTCTTAGTATTAAAGCAAAAGTATATACAAAGTGTCTATTAATAAATCTCTTCCACTTTTTCTCACTCTCAAATGTGAGATTCTCTATTAACGGTTTTATACTATTTTCCAAAATGAATCAATAACTATTAAGTAACTTGAAACCCCATTAAAATGCTCTCTCTCTCTCTCTCTCTCTCTCTGTGTATATATATATATATACTATTTTGAAAAAATTTCTAACAGCAATTTATCCTTTACAGCAGGTCACACTAATCATCCAATGAATGCAATTGCATCACATTGGTTAAGGGCAGCATAGTTGGAGTTGGAAATGGCCATATGTATAGAAATTGACTTGAAAAGGATCCAATTATCCGAGTGATTTCCACAAACCTTTACAATGCAAGAAGCAGATCCAATTTTCTGTGTCATCCCAAGGACGATCTCAAGTGGTCAAAATCTTGAGCCTCCTTAATGCGACCCAAACGAGTTAGAAGTTGAATAATGCTAGAGTAATGTTCGACGGATGCTCTAATTTTATACCTTCGAGTCATTATATTAAAGATTCTGCAAGCTTCATCTGCAAATCCAGCTTGCTCACAAATGGAAAGAACCACCTTAAAGGTAAAATGGTTTGGGGAGAAACCTTCAGAAACTATCTGGTTAAAAAGATGAATCGCTTCTTGATGGCAGCCACCATATCCATAAGCTTCAATAATTGCAGTCCATGTAATTGTTCCCTTGACAGGAATTGCTTCAAAAGCCAACTTTGCTTTATCAAGTGCTCCACAAATCCCATACATTTTCACAATTTCTGCAGAAACAAAAGGTATGGATTCCAAATCCTTCTTCAAGACCTGTCCATGAATCTCCTTCCCAATCTTCAAATCTTTAAGTTCACCGCAAACCCTCAACACACTTGACATAGCAACTGAGTCTGGCCTGTGCTTGGACAACTGCATTGCGCGAAAGACATCAACAGCTTCATGCAGATGCCCACTTTCAGCGTATGACTCGATCATGGCTGTCCACGAGATCACATTCCTCCTCTCCATACGATCAAATAACTTAGATGAATATCCCAAAACACCACACTTTGTATACATCATCATTAGGGAGGTAGCTATAGATACATTGGGGAACATACTACACTTAACAGCATAAGCATGAACTTCCTTCCCTTGCTTTAAAGCCCTTAATTGTCCACACACGGGAACAACTGTGGCAACCGTGACAGCATCAGGCTTGAAGCCTTCCTGCTGCATCCAAACAACTGATCTCAAAGCCTGCTCAAGCCTCCCATTTGAGACATATCCTGACATCAAAGCAGTCCAAGAAATAGTATTCCTCTCCATCGACCCATAGAAAACCTTTCTTCCTGAACCCATGTCCCCACATTTGCAATACATATCAATCAAAGCAGTTTGAATAGGTAACTGCTTCGAGTATTCCTTTGTCTTGATGATATAAGCATGAACCTCCCGGCCAAGTTTTCGAGCCAAAACTTCTCCTATCACGGGAAGAATTATAGTCAGTATAACTGAATTTGGGTCTATCCCTTCCTTTCTCATCCACCTCAAATACTCCAATGCTTCCCTTTCCAGTCTGTTGTGCGCAAAACCAGCAATCATCGCCCCCCACACCACAACATCTCTTTCCTCAATCTCCTCGAACACCCGACGAGCTAGCTTAATTTTACCACATTTAGAATACATATCAATCAAACTAGTCTTAAGAATTGAACTATTCACCAACGCATTTTTAATCAGAAGTCCATGTGTCTTTAAACCTTGATAAAAAGCCGAAGCACCCCCGAAACTCTTGATCAAACAAGAGAAACTGTACACATTCAATTCAACCCCCAATGCCCGCATTTCAGAAAATGTAGACAGTATATCACGATATTGCCTTCCACCCAAAACCACATTGCCTCGAAGTAATGCGTTCCATGGATAAACACTTTTACTAGGCATTTCATCAAACACCCTTTTCGCGTCTTCAGGGGAGCCACAAGATGTATACATATGGACAAGCTTGGTTTGAAGAAACTCATTATTTTCAAGCCCATTGATTCTAACATGGGTATGTATTTGTCTCCCTTCATCTAAAGCTTTTCTTCGTACACAAGTGGCGATGAGAGAAGAGAATGTAGTCGCGTTAACTGGGACGCCTTGTTTGTCTAAGTAATCTAGGATGGTCAGAGCTTCTTTCAGCTTGTTTTGCCTGGCTAATCTTTGAATGGATTCGTAAATGGCATGTGGGTTTTTCCTGTGGAGTGGGATAGACATTGGGTATGCATCTTCTTCTGCAAAAGGTCGTTGCTTTTTGGAGGGAGAAGTGGAGGGTTTCCGGTCATGTTTGGTTTTTGTGGGTGTTTGGGATTGGATTGGAGGTGTTAGTGATGATGCTTTGATTCTGAAATTCTGGTAGTTATGGTTGTTGAGGGGATTTGGCGGGAGAGAGTGTAGATGAACGGTTACAGGTTGGTTTGACTGGGGTTTCGAAGGAAATGGAGTTAGGTTGCTGAGACACTCCATTAGTTTCCTATTTCTAAAGCAAGGAATAAGATCGGAGTTTTGCTTCTGGATTAAAATATATGTTAGCAAATTACACAAACCATCCCGGAAGTTGGTTTTAATTTAGTCCTTGAACTTTCAATTATCTCAATTTAATCCTTCAACTATTAACTTTGTCTCAATTAAGTCATTTTGTTCATCTATGAAGCATGCTATGAAGTTTTCCCAGTTTTATAGGCATAGCCTATAAAAACTTATATCTATGCTGTCGAATACATACCGGATATGCCACGGATACGTCTGAGAAGTATCCTAAAATTAAAAAAATAAATTTAATTTTTGGATACGACTGGATACGTTTNAATATAGATACGAGTCGAATACATACCGGATATGCCACGGATACGTCTGAGAAGTATCCTAAAATTAAAAAAATAAATTTAATTTTTGGATACGACTGGATACGTTTTGGATACGAGTGAGATGTGCCTAGAATACACATAAGGATACGGCGGGGTATTACTTGAATTTTAAAAAAGTATAGGGGCACAAGAACAAATATATTTAAGCCCTTATTGGCAAAAAAAATATATATTATGAAACCCTATCTTCTTTTATTCCACAGCTCTCCTTCAGTTGACGATCGACGATTGTCTCTCTCTCATTCACTCACTCACACTAACGATCAACTGACTGTATTTGACGCTGATCAACGACAGGTATCCCCTCTTTCACCTCCGATGACCTGTGTTTGACCTCAACAGCATCTCTCGACGACGAAAAACATCTTATCTCTCTATGTCCACGTATTCAGGTAAACTCTCTCCTCTCTCTATTTTTCTGTCTCTCTGTTGTCTCTTTTGCCTTTTACCAGTGATTAGCACTCCTTTTGAGCCTTGAATTAGGGTTTGCAATTTAGGAGATTTTTTTGGGCCTTGAACTAGGATTTGCAATTAGAATTTTTTTTTTTTGGAGCAATTTGCAGAACAAACTATACATATACAAATATATTATTCAATAACTATGTTTTTTTTGGGGGGGACCTTGAATTAGGTTTTTTTGCATTGCAATTCTAGATGCCCCAGCTAAATTGACCACTTGAGTCGATACTCGATACTGTCTGGTTCTGTGGTTCAACATAATCAGGTCCTCTAAGAACTGATTCCAAGTTTCTGTATATATACATAATGCTTGACTTGTAATCAGTTGGTTTTTTTTGTTTAAGCATGGACTTGATATTATGCAATATGTATGTGATATAGAATGTATGATTTATGAATGATAGAATGGTTAGTTATTATTATATATTTTTAGTAGATGTGTGATTCACTTTATAAATCATAATTATTATATTAAATATAATAATAATATTTTAAAATATATATATTTTATGGACGTATCATAGTCGTACCCGTATATTTTTTTTTGTCGTATCGCCATATCCGTATCGTATCTGTATTCTATATTCGTATCCGTGTTTCATAGTTGTTTATTTTCACTATTAGATCGGTGCTGAAATAAATTGGGCTGGTCTCCAATTGGCCTAACAACGAAAATTGGTTGAAGGATTTAATTAAGACAAAATTGGTAATTGAAAGACTAAATTTAGACAATTGAAAGTTTAGAGATAAAATTACAATGGAAGACAAAGTTCAGGGATCAACCATATTTTTACCCTTATATTTATGACATTCAATCACTTGAGACTTATAGAAATTACACCCAACTTCAATTGACTAACAATCAAATAATGGAATTTCGGAAAAAAACAATGCATTGAGATTTAATTTACTGAACTAATTCATTATAATCATTAGATTGATTGTGGGTCTCATCAAACATTGAAACTTTGTATTAATTCAATGGTTACAATAAAGTCACATTATTAGATCAACAAATTAGATCAATTTTTAAAATTTAAATAGTAAGAAAAATTTCAACCACACCCCTGTAGTTTATCATATCTTCAAGGACACCCCTATAGTTTCTGAATCTTCAATGACATCCCCTGTCAGATTAAAAATATTAAGTAGAATGCAATTTTACTAAATTGCCCATGATATATTTGAGGACAAACTTTATCCACACCCTCTCTAGATAAATATATCTTCAATGAGACCCCCTCTAGATAAGTATATTTTTAATGAGACCCGCTCGATTCAAGCTAATTGAATTTTATTTTTTTACATATTAAAATTTGTGCGAATTAAAAATTATATTTTTTTTACGTATTAGAATTTGGGCTAGTTAAAATTTTGTTTGAGCCAATTAAAATTTATTTTTAATCGATTCAAATCAAATTTTAATTAATTCGCATTGAATTTTAATCCGCCTAAATTTTAATATATAAAAATATATGAATTTTAATTGACTTAAATTTTAATAAATCTAATTTTAATTGACACAAATTTTAATAAGAAAAAAATATAAATTATAATCGACTCGAAAGAGAATTTTAATCGGCCCTAACAACTCGGATAAAGTTCAAATCGGCTCAAATTTTAATATGTAAAAAAAAATTTTAATAGGCTTGATTTTTTTTTTAAATTTACTAATTAGTAAATAAAAAATTAGTATTTACTAACAAATTATTTACTAAAATTGTTATTTATGATTTTTTTTTTAAAATTTTAACAGCTCAAATTTTAATAAAATTTTATGTAAAAAAATTACTTGAGGTTTTGTAGGGGCATTTTTGGTATTTTAGATGAATTTATTTTGTTAGAAATAATAGTTTAATGGTAGAGGGTGTTAGTGATGTTTAAATTAAACTAGAAGGGGTGTCATTAAAGATTTAAAAATTAGAAGGGGTGTCTTTGAAGATATGATAAACTCGAGGGGGTGTCATTGAAATTTTCTCTTAATATTTTTAATCTAAAGGGGATGTCATTGAAGATTCAAAAACTAGAGAAGGTGTCTTTAAAAATATGATAAATTATAGGGGATGTGATTAAAATTTTTCCTAAATAGTATTGATTATTACTAAAAAGATGAATACGCGGCTTTGTCGTTGTCAAAATCATATAAAAACTAACTCAAACACGTTCTACAATATACGAACCAATTGAACACAACTCCAACTAGACTCTTAAAAAAAATTACTCTCTCAATAAACACAAAATTAATATATATGATCTCATAGATTTATGTGAATGTCCGTTAGCTATATTATATATCAATCGACATCTCAATGTCTTCACTAATTACACATAATATCTTGTATACATTAAAAATAACATATGGAGCGTCTATTTCAACTAATAACATGAAAACCACTTGACGAAAATGAAAAAAGAACCAAACTTACACCCCTCTTGTAACATAAACACCCCTTTGAATTGAAATTGACAGGGAAAAAAAAAAAGGTTTTCAAAAGAAATTGCACGGCATAGTTTGTACCAAGAATTTCTTGTTATAAATTGAAGGGAGAGTTTGAGTCTTCTTTATTTGATGCCTTCCACTCTCAACTGCCCCACTAATTTAGTATTTATGTTACGAGCAATGCTATTAAAATCTAAGTTACCGCATAATTTACTGATTTAATTTACCATGACATTTGAATTCATTGTAAACCCCACTAAACATTGAAACTTGATATTGATCCAATAATTCCTACGAAACCACATCATTAAATCAACAAATTACGTTAAATTTTTAGGTCCAAATAATTTTACTCTTATGTTACTCACTTGATCTTTCACTTATATTTTACCTCCGCCTACATCAAACAAATAATTAAACCATACTAAACCAACCACCTGATGGAGAAAATATTAGGTGTCATGGTAACACCACGTGATCAATTTCACATAGTGTCACAAATCAATTACAAAATAACAAATAAAATTGATGAATCCCACTATTCTAACATGACAGTTATTAGGCAAGATAGTTATTGACAGTGAAATATACTAAATCCACTTGGTATTCTATTACTGATTGATGACACAACATGACATTGATAACATAGTGTCACCGTTACATTCAATATTTTCTTCACTTCACCTGGTGAGAGTGATCAAATGACGATAAGTAGCAAAAACATAATAGGCGAGACAGATCAAAAACCCAAGTTCCAGAAGTTACAACCAATGAAGCAAGGTTCTTAATATAGAGCAAAGAGGAAAATTAACCATCTTTCCCCGTGGAAAGATGGAGTCAACCACCACACCCTAAAGTTGGATCGCTTCGATCTCACTCACCTGTGAAAATCGGTTTAAGCTAAAAGCACTGGTTTTCTCCAACCTCTAATCCCGCCAACTCCAATGAGAGGCAAAGGCCACCATGTTGACAACTAGTACCCATTGATTCAAGTATATATACCTAATCTCGACAACTCAACTCAATTCAACCGAATAAATCTTGCTTTGCGATTGTGCTATAATAACAAACTTTCTTTCAGTTGCCTTCTTTTTAGTCTCCTTTCTTCTCTGGAGAGAAGTGTTTCAAGGCTCATGTACACCTGACTAGGACTTTCCATCTTCAGAAACAATAATCAAGACATCATCACAATCCTCACAAAACGAAAATAGTAAACATTGAATAAACCAAGCTAAAATCCAACACTCCATGATTAAGTCATGAATCTTGAGGATTCTTTGAGAATACAACATGGGCCATGAGCTCACAAACTAATCAATTATTGTATGTAGTGATATATTTCAACTGGGATAAAGTAAAGATGTCAACGATTTTATGAACTTTGAAAGTTGACAGCAATGTGAATCATCTATGACACAGATCAAGCAGCGAAAGCTTCATCGCTTGAAATGACGAGTAGTACAGTGTCTCTGATCTGACAATCAGCAGATATAGGTGAGCTGGACATAAGGTATGATGCAACTTGATCCGACAAGGAAGAAGAGAAGCAAACCAGAATAGGGGGAAAAAAAAAGTATCTGCATCCTTTACTGGCTGGCACGTCAAACACATCCAAAAAATTGTTCCAAGGATGGAGAGCTGAGAACATTGGCAGCACTTCTCTCAGTTTTCATTGGAGAAACGTGGAGTTGATATTTGAT